TGCATTGTTTGATAAAACTATTTTAACTTCGGATGAAAAAGAATTTAAAACTCACTCTGTCATCCTCGCTTTGCACAGTCCTGTTTTTGAAGCCATGTTTGCAAATAAAAATCTTGTAGAGAATGAACAGCAAAGAGTGTACATTGAAGACATTAGTGGTCAAGTTATGGAAGCATTTATTTCATATCTTTATGGGCAAGAATACACTGAATGGAAAACTATTGCAGGCGAATTGGCTAAAGCTGCTGATAAGGTAAAATATTAATCAAAATTTAAAGTTTAAATTTATGAATATTTGTTTTTTAAGTACGACATTCAACCTTTAAAAAATGCTTGCATCGCAGCTATGACTGCAGACATTACTGTAGAAGTTGCAGCAAAAAATTTTTACTACTCTCACTTGCTTAGTTTAAATGATACTATGAATGAAATTGCGCAGTTCATTGGCAAACATAAAACGGAAGTGATGGCCACTGATGACTGGAAAACATTAGTAAAACCAAACTCCGAGTTAATCGAAAAACTTTTTGGATTATGCTAAAATGCGATTTTAACAACGGAATCTANTAAGGCCAAAATATAAATAAAGATCAAGCATAGCAAGTTTCTCCGCATGGTTGTAGATGGCGCTACGATCAATCGGCATTTAAAAATGAAATTCAAGCAGTTAAAACATTGAAGGTGTGAAAAAGGACTAATGATGACAGTTTTTTGTGGAAATGTGAAGTTTAGTTGAGCAAAAAATAGAAAACGTTTTATTGATAGTTGAGCTTTTGGAAAGAGAAATAAACAAAACCTTAAATGCAGTCAATGTACAGTGAGTAGAGGACTTCTGTTATTTTATTCAAAATATTCCCCTTTGACCGAAATGCATTTCTTCCATCTGTCCACAAGTTTCCAAATTCCCCGAGAAAAGAATTCTTCATTTTTCTCTTCTTTTTCTTGAAGGAATGCTGAAGTGGCAGCCTTAGCCGCTTCTTCGTTTGGGAAGCGTTTCCCCCGTTGGTCATTGGCCATTGAGAGAAAGAGATGGAAGTCGCTGGGCGCCAAATCTGGAGAATATGGCGGATGCGGCAGCAGTTTCCACCCCAGTTCTTTTATTTTGGCNTGGCAGTGTGGGGCTTTGCATTGTCTTGCTGAAAGTAGACAGGCCCCCTCCACCGCCTCTTTTGACGAACTGCCTGTTTGACCCGCTCCAGGACTTTGCAGTAACTCGCAGCATTAATGGTGTCACCACTTGGCAAGTACTCGTGGTGAATTATCCCTCGAACGTCCCAAAAGACAGTTATCATTGTCTTTTTTGTTCGAAGGGATTTCTTTGGGACTCCCTGGATGAGCCCCTTTTCACCTATTTTTGCAAAATATCGTTTTCTTTGAGGATTCTCGTGATGAATCCATTTTTCGTCGCAAGTGATCACTCGGCTGAAAAAAGGTATTTATAATAATTTTAAAAAACAAAACAATTTTTTACTTCATCATAGTGCAATTTGTTTAGAGTTATTTTGCACGTTTAATGCAAATTAAAAAATTACTTACTCAAGAAGTTCTGGATTTTTGTCCAGCATGTCTAGCAGTTGGCGGCAAAAAGCAACTCTTTTTTCTTTTTGTGCAGACGTCAGCTCGTGCGGCACCCACCTTGACAATTTTAGTGTATAACCTAAGTTTTTCATGCGAAGGTATACTGTGCTACTTGAAATGTCAAGGTTTTGCGCAATTTCAGCTGGAGTGGCAAAAGGGTTTGTAGCGATGACACCCTTGAATTGCTCATCTTCAATGCGTCTTGGTCTTCCAGTACCCTTTTTGTCTTGACAACTGGTATCACCACTTTGAAATCGCTT